GCTAAATTTTAACAAATTTCTGTTAGTTAGCTCTACAAGCTTTCTTGTTTCACTATTCAGCTTACGTTTTCCCAAGAAGAGTGGCTTGACGGTCTCCTGCCTAACCTGTGCACTAGAATTGAACAGCTCGCACTTGGAAAGATGGGAGACTCGAAAGACAGAACCCAGGGGCAGAGCAAGTCCTCATTGGAATGTTTAATTAATCAAATATATTTACATTTCTTGGTCAATTATCTCTAAATGCGTGCCTGTTTTCCATTTAAACACAATAATCCTGCTTGATTTTATCATGAGTACAGCTGTGTGCATGATCTCATGGTCCTTTGTAGTTTTTGAAGATGTGAGTTTAATAAAGTTAAAAGACGTAAGCAAATCGTGGACCCTTCTAATTGCAGGATAATCCTTCTTGTCATATCAGCTGCCCTTCCCACAAGCACGCCCCCCACAGTAAGCTACTTCTCAGTCTTTTAACGGCCTCTTTAAACCTTTCCAAACCTCAAAATGCAGAACTGAAATGGACTGCTCACCCTAACCATTTTACTTGATGGAGTTAGAAATCGATTTCTATTTCAATGGGGGACATATACACCAACTGTAAAATCAGCATAGCAAGGAAACTTAGAGATACCTCGAGAGCACCCAAATATCATACTTCCTTTCCCAGACTATATAAGCTGGTTGCCTTCCCTTAATGTAATAAAATCAATTAATTTGGGGACATCAGGTTTCTGAGATGATTTTGCTGATCTGACTCAAAGTCTTCTGAGCTTGAGTCACCAACTTGGTCTTTGTGCTGGTTTTGGGTGGTGGAAAGCCACTACCACTGTACTTAGAACTTCCCAAGAGTAGAATTTTACCTGTTTTTTCCATTCCCTCCAAGGTGAGAGAAACTTCAGTACATGTACTAGATTGTTCGATTGTTCAGGGAAAATGAATCTACAAAGGCTGGTTTTCTTATCACCACACAATGCTCAAAAAGAAAACCAGGGGGACTGTGGGCTGGTGGAACTGGGTCTAAAATGGCTGCTTTCACTCTCTCTCTCCTGGGGCCTCCCTGGTGGCACAAGGGGTTAAGATGTAGCACTATGAAGTTATCCGTAGCCACTGCAGCATGAGTTCGATCCCTGGCCAGGGAGGTACCCACATGGCACAGCAGACCTCTCCTGTCTCGCCCACTGTTCCTCTCAGCAGTGTATTTCAGTACAACTGCCTGCTCTGCTCCCCACTCTGTCTCTGCTGAATCCTCTCACCCCCCGCTCCTCTGGCCTACAAACCAGTTCTTGTAGGCATAAATAAATAAATCTATAAAAAAATAAAATAAAATAAAATGGCTGCTCTCTGGACACGTGGCGATCACCTGCTCTGACAGGACTTCTTTCTTTCAAACAAGAAAGCGCCCTTCTGTACAAATATACCCCCAACTTGGTGAAGTTTCTATTAAGATTGTTTTCAGGCACGAATTACGTGCCAAGCTATGGGGCACATAGGCAGCACCAGGGATACTTGGCAAGGTAGGAAATAGGAAATACCAGCTGGAGGCTACCATGTTTGACTGAAGAGGAAAACAGTCAAGACTTTGACAAACAAAATGTGTCTGTCAGCATTCCATCCTTAGAAAAGTAGTACATGGTGGCTTCAATGCCAAGGTAAAGAGTTACTCTGTAATAGAGTTGGTTCATGAAGAAATTTGTAAACTGAAGGTTTTTTTTTTTTCAACATCACTAACAGACTCATCTAGATCACCTCGAAGAACTTGAACTGGTTCCACAAGTCCTTCAAGCATGTAACTACATTATTTGTACCTTTCGCCAAACAAACCTATAATGCCTTCAGTCTTTCTACCTCCCAGGCAACCACACAAGCTCCTATTGTTAATGGACACAACTGCATAATTACTCCATTGATGCCTGAAAAGTAACTCACTTAGTATTCAGTCAGAACAAAGAAGGAAAACTAGATTTCACTTAGCTCCATTCAGGATGTGTTTTCACTTGTCAATAGTGTTCAGCCCGAGTTCTGCTCTTGGCCCCTGTCCAACATAACTTGCCTTCTGCCCGCTGCTATTTGTCCTAATGTACATCACACACTTGAGGGGAGTTTTTTTTTTTTTCTTTTAATATGGACTATAAGTTCCATGTTTAGGGGGGAAATATGCTTGCCAGCAAAGGGCTATGTGACCCATTTGAGGATTACAATTATATCATCAATGATGATGATATGTATTTTAAGGGTATTCCAGCACTTTTCCCCACAAACATATTTTATAAATCAATTATACTTGTGTTTATTTTAAAAAGCTCTTGCTCTCAAAGTCTTGAATAAGGAAATATTTTTCCTTTTTAAGGATTATAGCCATACGGTTTTGGAAGGGAGATTAGTAAAGAAACTAAGGGGAAACACTTATGAAAAAGGGCTGATGGTTATCTTTCTTCCAGGCTTACTAAGGACTAAATTATGTTATCTGTTAAGCAGATAAGCTGCTGCCACCGATACTATTTCCGCCAATATCTGAGATAATAAACTCAGACTCGATTTTTCCATGAAAACTTACTTGATTGAGCCCTTTCTAATTTCTGAGTATAATGGCAGCAGCTCAAAACAGAGGGAAGACAATTCAACCATTTTAACTGTTGGCTATTTTCTCATTTAAAAAAATCATTTTCATATTGATCTAATGAAACATGTAAAAGAAGAAACTAAGTGGGAAATAAAATCACAGATCATAGGCTCACTTCTGTGACAAGGTTTCTACAGATAAAAACGTATTATTTTTGGTTTGCCTCTCTCTGGCCAGTTGTAACCGACCATTGATCATTTGGTTTGTAGTATTTAATCTGAGAAGTTCTGAAATGTAGTGGTCCTTCTGGGACTCTATACTATTATTTTGTAGTAGCTCAGGTATGGCTAATGATGGGAAAACCTCAAATGCTTAGGTGGTTAAGGATCCAAACATCTAGTCACTTTGTAAAAAGGTTCCAAACCTTTTCATTTTGAAAGGATCCTGACGAATGAATGGTATTTCCAGAATCTACTGTTACCACTTAAAAAACCATATCTCTTATTATCTTTCAGGCCATGGGAAATAAAATCAAACTCACATCAAGGAAGGGAAAAAGAAACTAACTTAAAAAAAATGAGTTTACTTAGTTTGTTATTCCTTGTCTGGTTTTGCAGGCACACATAGTCTTAATCTGAGAGTGATAGATTTGCTTCTAAATAAAAGGCTGCAGGGGCTGCAAAGAACAATCCCTGAACCCCAGATCCATGCTGTTCTGGGAAATGCCCTGCTTGTGAAGTGTGCCACGATTCCCAACTAAAACAGCTGAACACACATTAGGTTTGATTTTTAAAATTTGTGCAAAACATATACAGTAATGATGGCACTTCTACTATGAAAACCAATTATCAATTTCTTAAACAGCTCTTAAAATCAATTACTACCAATTTGTTTTGCAATAAAACCAAGACCCCAATCTTCAGAGGATGAAGTAACTAGAAGAAAATCCTTTCATTTCAGGGCATGAAGAATTGACAGTGACATTGAAAAGCAACCTTAGCCAAACAACTGCTCTTTCGAAACCAATCGTTACGATCTGCTCTGACAGTGTTCTTGGGGGCACCTGAGTGACATTTAGGAGGCCCCTTAACTGAGTATCACAGTGGGACATAAGGTTAGGGGTGTGTACAAGGGTGGCATTGTCACAGCATGTCACTGGCATGGCCCCGAAGACCCATGGGGCTCTGCAGAATTCCTTCCCTGAGCAACTGCATCCCTGTCCCCAACTGTTGGCTCATCACTTGGAATAGTCTTATAAAATCTCTAAGACTCTAGTCCTAACATTGGTATCTTCATTTCATTGTTCAGAACCAATAGTCCAGTGGATTAAGCAAAGACAAACATGTTGTGTATCTTAATTTGTTTTGAAATTGCTACCTTTTAGTCTTCCACTGAATCCTCATCTTTCTAATCTCTCAGTTGCAGCAATCTCTGAAAATCCACTAAGACAACGGTCTGAAGGACTGAAGGCCACTTACAAGAATATTATTTTCTACCAGTCACTCAGGTAATACTACTTATGGCAAACAACTACAATGGTTTTCTTTATACAAGAGTTCAGTTGAGTAAATGAATAAAACAATGACTCACTCAACTGGCGTAAAATTTTGATGAGCTGGTAAATGTTTGTAAATCTTTGTGTATCTGACCCAGAACGTAGTTTTCCCAAGATGCAATCCAACAAATCTGAGTCTTGTGACAATAGAGACAACAAAGTTATCAGAACCTTTGTTAGGCGTTTTCTCCAAAAGGCTACACTTGAATAGACAGACATTCAACAATATTTACTAAATGAATCACATGATATAAATTATTCAAGATTAAGTTATACAGGTTTAATTATCCACGTAACAACTCCATAAGAGCCAATGTCCCCTGAAAAAAGTCATTTTTAAAGACAAAGACAATGAAAATGAAAAGCTTATCTTAAGAAGAATTCATGCATGTTTCTTGGGGGAAATATTCAGCTTTGCCTAAAAGTAGTTAGATTTTTCTAGAAATGTGATATCTGCAATTCCACTCCTTTTCCTTTTGCACCCCAACTTTTACCTGGCAGCAGCCTTTGGCTTTGACTCAGCTAGAAAAATGAGCATATACTAGGATGTCACTCAGAAAAAAAAAATTGTCCCCACCAATAGAAAAAGGATTGCTTCCAGAGTGAAATACTGCTTCAGTTCTGTATTCTCCTTTCTCTCCTAGACACCTTCCTTTTTCATTATTTATTTTTTAATATATTTTCTACATCATTTTTCATTTTTGTACAATGTATGCATTTTTATCTTGGTTATAGTCCCCATACAATTCCCACCCCCCTTGTTTTGATCCTACTCCCTTCTCCCCCCACCCCGTAGTGTGTCTCTGCTTTATACTTGCTTGTTGATTTTGATTTTTACTTTATTATAATTAGTCTTTTCCTGGTCCCTTATTTAGGTTTTTCTAAATTCCTGCTATAAGTGAGACCATTTGGTATTTTTCTTTTTCTTTCTGGCTTACTTCGCTGAGCATGATCCCTTCCAGCTCCATCCATGTTACTACAAATTGCATGAGTTTATCTTTTGTGATTGCTGAGACCTTCTTTTTTTCTCAGTGACTCAGAGCATTTATTCTCTTTACTCCATGATTAATTAGCAAGTTACTAAAAAGGAAGAGGGCAAATCTTTATGACTACAGTTGCTATCAACCACAGTGACCCAAGGGACGACCTGTCCATTTTAAACATAAAAAGCTAAAGAAATTGCTGGAAAGTTTTAAGGAGAATTTCCTATCCTACTCCTACCTCACCTCACTCAGCCCATAATTCGATTAAAAAATTGGGAACTGCAAGAATCTTTGCCCTGAACTGCTTCAGGGCAAACATGTACTTGTGGCTGTTGTCCTGTCTTGTGACAGATGAGTTAGGCTGCTCTGCTAGAAGCAAGTAATGGCTCAGCAAGGTGAAAACTGCGACCATCCTGAGTTTTCTATTTGTTAAGGAGAAAGTTTTCTGATAGAATAGGTAGGAAATGCATGCAAAGATCTCTCTTAATAACAAAAGAATCAGACAGACTTAAAAGAAGCAGAATACTCCTTTTGGTATAGAAGTTACTGCCATATTTAGTGGAAGTTGGGGATCAGCCGGCAAAGCCACGAGAGTGGATAGAACAATTCCATTGTTCATGATAGAAATCCAGAGCGGCGCCAGGCTTCCCATTCTTGCTCTTGCTCATAAGTGCCAAGGGGTGTAAGTTGTGTTATATTAAGAAGGAAATAGCTGAACTGATGTTTCTTAGTAAAAGCAATACACAAACTATAGGTGAGCTGTCCATTAATATCATTTTCCAAAAGTACAACCAAATGTTTCAACCTTAATAAATGGAACAACTTGGCATCTGTGCAGCAGATCTGTTATTTTCTTACAGGATTTGGGTTAATATGGCTACATACCCCGAGGGCACATATTGTGGGCAAATGTCTCCATCACATAGGACACTGAACGATAAAGTCAGATCATATTCCTAGCTACCAGAGAGAACACTTTCAACCAGCAAAAGTTACATGGAAGCACAATTGCTTACCCTTCTATGACCAGGAACCCACAAGAAATGGGGGGTGGGGAATTTTAGGTAAGTGACTTGAGTCTGGGAAACAGGTAAGAATCAGTCAACTTCCTCCATTCTTATGGATTTTGAGGTACAGATACATAAATTACAAACACAACCAGTAAAAACCAGTTTTACTCCATTTTAAATGTGGTAGTTGGGCACTAAAGGATAGGGAAGCAAAATGGAAAGGCAAGGAAGATTTTCTGAGAAGCAAATTCATGATGATAGATTAAAATGAACCACACAGTACTTTTCTTCGACTGGTCAGTTCAACTCTGTCTCTTGTCTTTTTGTTGGGGGAAGACAATGGAAGGCAGGGCTAAGAGAGCATGAGTTCCTTAAAAGAGGCTTTGTCTTGTTATCCAGTGACCAGGAAATCCACAGAGATTGCTGCTGTTAAGTACTCGCTATCAAACCATGCAGTTTTATCAAGGTTGACCCCATCTCGGCAATGCTGTAGGAAGCTAATGACGGGAGGTGCCACTTCTTCTGATGTTGGACCATTTCGTGGACTGTGACCCAATTTTGTTGAGTACCATTGCAGAATGACCAAAAGGCTAGCTGAAGTGAAACAAGCTTTTTCTTAACACTCAAAGAACACTGACATTCTGTACATCATCTTTTCTCTTTCAATGAATTAATGTTGAAGGAAGAAGAGTATCAAAGACCAGAGGAGATAAACATATCATTCGTATTGATAAAATGAGCTAGTTCCTGGGCAGTCTGTTCTACCCACAACCCTCTCTGTGGCTGCCTCTCAGTGCTTCCAGTCTGGGTTATTTTCACCTGTTTCTGCACAAATACTCCCCCCACACTCAGATCTCACCTGTATGAGGAAGGAAGAAGAAATTGCCTACAAGGACCTTGACAAAGAGGCTTGGCACTGCCTTGGCTCATGTATCCAACATGTTTACAGACGCAACAGAAAAATTACTTGAAGCCTCATACCGCACATTCAGCCTCATACTGAAGAACTTTATTTTCATTTTTAAGCTAAATCATTACTGAAAACAAAATTTTCTCAACTAGCTGCTTCAGAACAATATACTGTATTATGAAGCTCCGTACATTTTAAATGTTTTTGAAATTCCGACAGGACAACGTTAAGTCTCCCCCCTTATTTTTTCCCTTGAATTTTGAGATTTAAACCATTTTCTTTTTTTTCCAGGCTCTTCTGCGTCAAGATCAGGCTGCTGGATGGAAGGAGCCATGCGGAAAGTGTGTGAGAAGTGAGCATGGAAAACAGAAATGGAAGGCCCGTGAGGCTGAAGATGGTGCTGACAGAGACGGTGCCATCTTGCTTCCGTTTCCGAAGTCCCTGCTGTGGCAGCCACATCAGGCCAGGCTGAACAAAATGGCAGAAAGAAGGACTGTACAGTGGGTCTCCTTGAATCATGCTACTAAAAAAAGGTGCAAGAGAAACAAGTCCCTGTGCATTCTTAGTCACGACTGTGGGCAGAGGAACCCATACGTTTCCTGATTCCTCCCTTTGGTATTAAATAACAGTTTAAAAAAGCTTTTTAGAAACAAAGCAAATACATGGTGGGATTGGAAGTGTTAGCCATCCCAGGTTAAGTGTCCACTGAAGTAAGTCTCATCCCTAGTCATAAATAAATAATCTCTTTCCTGGTCTGACTTCCATGCCAGGATCAATATCTCTTAACATCTTACTTATTTTATTACTGCTTTTGGTTTTCTGGGACTGATTGAAAGTTGCTCAGAGGAAATCTTTGGTTTTGCTTAAGTGTCCATGACATTTAATCATGACTTTCCTTGCAGTTTAATTCCAACCAGTCAATCAGTTAATCCACTTCGATTGATTCTGGGCTCTCGGTTATTGGCTTGCACTCATTGGGCATCCGCTGGTGTCGGCTCAGCTGGGTGGCCTGTGTGAAGCTCCGCTCACACCTCTCGCACCTGGTGGAGGCAAGAGAGAAAATTGAGACCAGGGAGCGAGGCCTGCAGGGTGATGGGCTTCCTCTCATCCTGCCTAATCGGATCAGACACTCCAAAGTGGCTTCAGATTTTACCGGCTCAAGAGGTTTAATTGGTGGCTCCTTCCAAGGCCTGGATGCCTGTGATGGGACAAAGCCCATCTGATGCAGAACAGAGGGATCTGTCAATAGGCAGGGGGAAGGTGATTTCTCCAGAGGGCCCTGTCCTGCTGCGCCTCTGATCACTGTCAGTTCAAATAGATAAAGAACAAAAAGAGATTTTTAGGAGTGAGCCATCAAAGCAGCAGCTTGTCTGCAGTTTTCTGCTCCGTAACCCCAAAGAGAAATTGATGACAAATAGAATTTCACTTGCTGCTAATTTAAAATCAGGAATTCTTCTCCCCTCCACACAGCAGCCAAAGAGCGATCATGTCCAGATTTCGAAACTAGAGGAAGCAACACATTAGTTTGTAGTGACTATGGGGGGGTGGGTGTGGGTGGCAAACTGAGGGTTAAAACTAACTGGCAGTGGGGGGAGGGGAACGGCGGGGATTCAGACAAACCTACAAATAACCAGGTTCGGGAATGTCACCTCTCCCGGAAGTACAGCAGAAAGAATGTCCATGGTGCCCTAAATGAGGCCAGTGTGTGTGAGGAGGTGAGAACTGGTTCCACACCTCAAGAACAGGTCTTTAACTTAAAAACAGGAAAGAATCTAATTGGGAGACCCTGGGGTCAACCATCTCCCAGGAAACACACAGTCACTATCAAGATGGGCTACTCAACCTACCAGAACATACACGCGCACACAGATTAACTGTGAACTGTGGAGGTAAGCTGGGGACAGACACACTTCCTTGTCACCACCCTGCTGGTTAGGACTCAGCAGCCACCTTAGTCATCCCCTCTCCTCAAATCTCTGAAGGAAAAGCCATTCAGGAAAACAGCAGACAACAACGACCTCAACAACTTAAGGTCTTGGGGTCCCTGGACAAAGGGGCTTTGGTCAAAGCTATCATGGAAAAGTCCCCATGATCTGGCAGGTGCTCCTCCTAAGTCCCTGCCTCAGGGAAAGAGACCACAGCTGTCCACTTGGGGAATGCCTGCCTGTGCTCTGAATGTCGGGAAGACTGAGCTGGACTATCTTGCCTGGGTTTTCCAGGGCTCCTGTGCCAACTGTGCATGTCAAGGGAAAGAAGTTGTGTTATTTTGATTGTCTTTCTGTGAATATTTTTAGCAGCCTGTTCCACTGTTAAAAACTGCACTGTGATCTTGACAAATGTATAATGTCAGCTTTAATGTATCAGACCTATCAGCTCAATGAAAATAACTCAGAAGTATTGATCAGCTAATGATTTTTGGTGTATTCATTAACGTCCATGGGCGGCTCATGCCCTCTGCAGAGCTCCTGAAGTGCTGAGGACATGTTAGCGAATTGCTGATTGTTTATTAGAAAACTGATTAGTTACTGGATGAGTGTGTCAAAATATACTACCTTTCACTGCTTGACAAACTTGCAAATGATTATATTCCTTTAAAAAAAAATCTGAAGCTCTAGAATCCAATTGCAAGAGAGCAGAATAGCTTGAACAATCACGAGGAGTGGCAATTCTCCTGGATCACACTTTTGCCCTCCTAACTTTATGTATTACAATAGAAAGAATTCACCACTGAGAAGTTTAGCGTTTCCTATCAGGCAAAAATGTGTCTATATGTAATATTTAAATATCCAGTTTGGATGGAGACATTAAGAGGAAAATTATACTTTTCTCAAGGATTTGCCTAAATGCCTCACATACATTTACATTCATGGAACAATTTGTTGTACTAGTCAGGAAATTCACAATCTGATGCATAGGATGGCTTAGATCATCACTGAACAATCATCTCTAGTGCCATCTGCTCGCCAAGTGTGAGTAAAAACACATGCAGATGTGTAGAAATTTCCCTTAATCTAGGTCCTTTTTCCAGGAACTTCCCCCTTCTTGAGGAGAGTAGACTGCTGGATATAATAGCTATGTGGGCTGGGAATTACAAGAACACAATTTTTATAATTAAGGAATTCACGAGAGCTAAATATAATAAATATTTTTTTAAATAAGAGAAACTCAACTCATCATTCTTAATTACTGGAAAATTCCCTTCACACATGATTTCCATAGCTTCATGAAACTCATCAACACAACACCTAGGGTCTGGCAGGTCAGAGCTAGACATTAGCTGGGTTGGCACTGACTTAACTCAACCACATTCCCAGACGAGTGATGGCGCCTGGGTACCCCTGAACAGGGTCTTCATGTGATGAAATATGACAAAGAAGAAAGATTCAGGCAAGTGTTTGTACTCAGGCTCTTGCTCTTGGTGCTCATGTCACAGCCTTGAATGAGGGAACGTGCAGGGACACTGAAATGGAAAGCTGTCCACATATCTCAGGAAAGACAATGTCCCCAACTTTCTACAAGTATGGGAGTCTTAATTAGACTTGATTTCCTTTTAGACCTGAAATCATTCTTTATCGCTATGATGGTTGACCAGATTATAGTCACAGGGAGATGAATAATTATCACCCGAAAGTGACAGAGGCACAAAACGATGTCAAATTTTATTATATGAAAAACCTGCAAGAAGTTTTCTTCCTGTGCTTCTAGGGCCGGTCACAAAATACTTCTTGAATCGAACCAAACTACACAAGACCTCATACATTTGCTGTGCTCACTGCATATTTAGTGATGAGCTCCTTGATTTGCTTTGATTGTGCCTAGATCTTGTTAAAATACTAGAGGTTTCTTGGAATATCCTTTGAATTTTTTTATACCAAGCCAAACCGTCTTCACTTAATATGAAATGTAGTGATGAATACTTTTCCCTGCTTCTAACAAAGATGAAGAGAAGAAGCTCTCCTAGGCAAAGCCCTGGTCTTCCCAAGCTCTGAATCCACACTGAGCAGCTCACATGGATCCTCCCAGGTAGAGCAAAATCATCCCTGAAAGCTTGAGAGATTACATTTAGTCACAGAGGAAAAAGGGGTTCTCACTGTAGAGAATAAATTTAAAGCTTGCTCCTTCCTTCTTTCCTTCCTTCCTGCCTTTCATCCAGTCCTTGAAAATTGCTGTAAAATGAAATGATGTCTTGCTTTTGCTTCTTGTTTTCCATGACCTCTTGTCTCACAGTACAACTGAATGCCCAAAACATCAATATGATGCTTACACATATATATTTGTCCCTATGTGCTCCTTTACTTTGGAAATTCAACTTCCATAGCCTAAGTTAGCTGCTGATGGGCCTGGGATCCATTTAGAGTTTGGGGGATAGAGACTTTCAATAGGATTTCAAGCCATCAGATTGTAAGGCAAAGGCTGGATGAAACTCTGCTCTCTTAATGCCCATTCTTCTCTAGTTATCTTTGGATGAGCACCTTGGTCTCCTTCAAAAAACCACTTTCTCAGTGAGAGATTTTAGAAGTTGAACCCATCTTGACAGCCCATTCTCAGCAGGGCCCTGAGATTTCTGTGATGGCCTCCTGGACTGCATGGGTGGGAGAGCTGGGCATTATGCCGTTGGGGCATCTATTTGGAAGCTGCCCAAGACATAGCTTAGGCTATACATCTTTACTAGATTCTTCTTTCTTTGCAACATTGTTTATCCAATACCTTTTAGTTGAAGTAGTAAAATTAACAGTGTGGTGAAACCCATTTTATTGACTGATCTGCAATGAAAGTGTTTTTGGTAATGTTTGCTTTATAAGCCTCTAAAAGATAACTTCATAATATTTACAAATGTCCATGGGATGGATATCCATGAGCTATGGCTGAAAGAGTCCCCAAAACTCTCTTGGGAGACTTCAATCCTACAAAATACACACCAAAGGAATGAGCTTTTCATTTTCTAAAGATGTTTAAAGCTCAATTTTTTCCTAAAAAGTGTACTCAGATCACCCCTGAGAATATTTATTTCTTATGTTGGAAATAACCATACAGCATGTGGTTATCTTCATAAGGATAGAAGCTAAAGGAACTAAAAGGTGCCTTTAGAATCTAACCCAACCAAGTCTGGCTGTTTCCTTATTATTTTTTTCCAGATGAGATTAGGTTATGGTTACAAAAAATACTTTCAGAAAGGAAAAGGCTACAATTATTAAAGCCCTTCAAATATTAATCTGATGAATTAAAATTAAGTTAACATGGCAACTCTATTGGAAACATGACAAAAACAGGATGTTAAGGAAAAAAATTGAGCGGAGTCAACGAGGTTACACATAAGTAACACCTTAACATTAATAGAAATCTATTTCCCATTTTGACCCTGAAACCTCTTCAATTAATTACTAAAATCTATTTACACAGCAACAAGATAAAAATCAATCTGATTCCTGGCACCGTGTCATCTGGCTGCCCTCTCTAATACAGGAGCCAGGACGATCCCTGGCCCTCTTGCATTTCTGCTGCTGGAAAGCTCTCTTTCTCAAGAGCTCTGGAAATGTGTCATAGTCATCTTCAACATTAACAGCAGAGGTGACACCCAGCTTGGTCAGCATTGAGGGCGATGACAAAGTCACAGCATAGGACACAAATACCTGTGACATCATTGGGAGCTCCATGGGGATGGTGCTAACCCTCTGGCCTTCAGGAAGGATTAGAAAAAGGGATCCCGGTGTGCTGTAGTAGCTGTACTGTTCTAGTGCAGATTCGACATTAGAACCCAACCCTGTCCCCTAAGCCAAAGGCTGTCAGGCAGTGAACAACTGACGTTATTTGTTAATTGTCACTATACAATACACCGTGACTTAATTTAGTTAGGAATAATGAACAAAGGTAACCAGTTCATGAAGAGGTGAGTGAAGATGACAGCCTCTTATGAAGTCCTTCTCCTGCTGGCAGGTATCAAGGCAGACCCAGACCAGCAGGCTCTGTGCCCCTGAGCTGAATCTGCACGCCATGTGGACACGTGCCATGCTGGTGGGGCCAGAGGGAAAACCACGGAACATGTAGCTCTGGGGAGACTTTTTGACAATCAACAAGGGGATTCATCTCCTACTACCTGAGCCATTTGCTTTCATGTTTGATCTTGCCTAACAGAAGCTGAATAGGGTGTACATCTGTAACCTTTCAATTTTTCTTCTTAGTCAGAAAAAGCCAGGATGACAAATGAGTAAAGAAAGATGTAAGGGGTTGAAGAGATAACTGCTTTGAGACAACCCGACAGTCATACTGGTTTATGCTCCCAAGTCTTTCGACATATATGAGCTGCTAGAAAAGCCTCTTTCCCTCTGTATGTCTGGAAAACTCTTATTCATCCTTCAAAACACATCTTAGTCATGATCTCTGCCAGACAGTATTGATGACTTCACTCTTTGCTACCTGAAATACTATTCACATACATTTCACTGTTTTTCACATTTGCATTTTTCACCCTGTGTTGTAATACTTGCTTATTAATTGAATTGTCCCCAAAATATAAGATCTTCAAAGACCACGGGGAGGGGGCGGGTAGAACCTCACTCACCTCTGTATTTCTTTTTCCTAGAACAAGTGTAACTAGAACAAAAGTAGGTGCTTAATAAATATTTTCTGAATGAATGAATACATAAATGAGTGAATAAGTGAATGAACAGATCATCTTGCTTGTTTTAGATGTCTACTGTTTCACGATGGTGCCATATCTAGAAACATACCCTCTTGGCCAGGTGCCCTTACCTTGCCAAAACCCTTGGAATTCAGTTCTACTTCTGCTTTGCACATCCCCTGAATCCTCAAGAACTCAGTCATGCCCTGTGCTTGGTTTTTTCCTTTTTTCACCAACATGGTCATTCTGAGATCCAAAGGGTACACTGAAAAGTCGCAAGTTGGCAGTTATAACACATTCAAACTTCTTTAACATGTAGGAAGGGGCGAGAAAGAGCTCACCAGAATCCCAAAGGGTTCATTTCCCCAAGTAATGTCCTAAATTATGGCCACTGTGTCAAGGAATATGGGGCTTTTTGGTGGCACTCTCTGTGGCTCCCAGTTCAAATTCGAGACACACAGATCCTCAGGAACTATAAGAATCTTAACATACCTCGTACTTGCTTATTTTACTGATGAGAAAACACACCAGAATGGCTGTCTTGTGTTCAGGGTCCCCCAGCCCAAGCCAGGCACAGTGCACACACTTCCTGACTTAATTTTCCAAACGTCACCCATTAAATAAGTTGGTCCTGGGGCAGCCTGGACACTGACCTTCCAACAGTGTCCCCCACCAGCTGGAAGAATGAGCAGCGCATGCTGGCTCTCAGGATTGGGTAGGAGCACGCAGCATGGAGAGCCGGCCGCTACTTACTTGAAGGGCTTTTCTCCAGTGTGGGTTCGGATGTGGTTGTTGAGGGTGGTGGCTCCGGCAAAGGCGCGCCCACAGTAGCCGCACTTGAAAGGCCGGTCGCTGGAGTGAGTGACCACGTGGTTCCTCAGTTCTGAAGGCTGGGAAAAGGATTGGGAGCAGTGGCCGCATTGGTAAGGTCTGGAACAAACAAAGACACCACCTGGTCATTATTTTCTATGCTGGCTGTAGGGGCGTCAGAAGCAGGGGAGCAAGGACAGAAACTTGTGGGCGCCACGTTCTCCAAGTTTAAAACAGGGCACAGAGCTCTGGCTGGTGGATCCCCAGGGCTTGCTACCACAGGAACAACACAGAGCTGCTGAGGCACATGAATTCCCAATGAATATTCCTTTCTGCTATGAGCCACACTATTTCAAGAAGTCCTGTTTTCTTGCTCTGATCCCCGCCACCCAGATAAACAGCAGTCTACTTCGCCAGCATGGAGCGTCCAGGCTTGATTAAGCAGGACGTTACAGGATTAAAATGGGCAATTGTTTCTCCTCATTCCAGGGGACTTTCAAGTTTTCAAAGAAAAATTTATCAATCTTTGACAAATTACACAGGCACTTTATTACAATTTAAAGTGATTCTGCTCAAAAATCAATCATCTAGTTTCCTCTTTACAGGTGTTATTATTTCTGCCAGTTCAGAAGACTGAGGATAAACTGTTCTCATAGGAAATCAACACTGGATGCCAGGTCACACGAGGGTGTTTGGACCTCACGCTCAGTGCCAGGTACACATGGAGGCAAGCCAGGGAGTTGCATGCATGTGCGGACAAATGCCAAACCCTCTGGGTTTCTGTCCCTAGCACAACCCCGACGGTGCACGCACGAACACAGATGTGCACTCAGATGTGTTTCTCTGTAAAAGAAATCCTGACCTCAACTTACTCCCTCTCACTAATATTTATCCATTGGGTCTTTTTTGAACTTCGGTTCCCCAGTTAAATCTGGTAGCAAGCAACGATTTATAGCAGCCCGGAAATGACAGGATGTCACTACATTTATAGGAGGATGGTGATGAGAAAGCAAGTGGAAGTTCAGACAAATACCTGATAATTAGCGAGATTATCAGAGGCCATTCTTTCCAGCTCATGAGAAGTAAATCAATTTTTGGTTTTCATAACATACATTAAAATTATGTCTTCTCTATAGAGATTCCTCTGCTTACTGAAGCAAAATTGGGTGAGTGATATAAAACCTAGGGAGTTTTCCCTATTCAAAGCTATTTCATATCATTCCTTGACAGGGTTCTAATTTGTTTATCAACATTTCTGTTAAGAAAGTTAATAATCTGTCATGGGGGATTTCAGCAGCGCTCATGAAGCTCTGGTTGGTGGCCCAGACATTTCTGGGTGTGTTCAGAAAGTCCACAGTGAAAGCTGACTTAATTCCTCTACCTTTAACACATGCATAAGATCCAATGAGCAGAAATCAAGATGGCGGGCCAGGAGACAATGGTGACCAAGCGTACAACAATTCAATTAAGTGCAAAATAAAGTGTACCCTCTCATTTGTCAAGTGAAGGGCTTAATTGTGGCTACTTGCCTCACTGAACACAAATACTATTATTTTGCCAGGCTTCAGCACACTGAGCACTGATTGTAGAATTTTTTAGCTTGATTAATAGTCTAGGATTGGTCAATAACTCAATACTATACAATTTTAATTACTTACATTTAGAAATCTATCTAAGTGCTCTCAAACAAGTTTCAAAGAAATATATAAGAGTCCTTGGTAAGGAGTTTATCAATCTTGACAAATTACACATGCATTTTATTACAATTATAAAATAATGCTTTGAGAGCTATTAAAAGTACTGGAGATGAAAATGTGCTTCTCTTGAATACAGTCTTTGTAGTTACCATTAGCCTTAAAGGATTATTCATGAAATAATTCTCAGGGGTGAGGTTTTTTTTTTAACATTATTGAAGATTACAAACAATAATATATTAATATATGCTATATCCACTGACAATTGATTTTTCTAATAGTGAAGGAACCATTAACATTTATTAGCCTCTGGTTATCTATTTTTAATAGCTATCACAATAAACAATAAGCTGCTAAATAAAACCAATTCATCTTTTCTTTTTTTTCTAACTCTGCTGTCAAAAGTTTCAGTGATTTATTTCCTACAGTCAGAAGTCAATCCATTCTCTTAATGTTAATAGTCAGGATGGCAGAGATTTACAGAGAAGAGCAGAAATGACCACAGAGAGGTTTCTGCTGAATTCTTATATCAAATTAATGCCAATAAGAGGCAAACAGGGTTCTAACACATCACCTATGCCCAGCACCTGAGACGTATTTTCCAGTGAACTATGGCACAAAGTTTTTAAAACTGCAGCGTTCAGCTTGATGGAACAGAAGGGCCTAGAATGGAGGAAATTGGTAAGGTGAGTCCTGCTTCGCCTGATACCAGCCATGGGATGCCAGCAACTCACTGAGCTGCCCTGACTCTATTTCTTCATCTGTCTGGTTAGGGGACTAGAATGAACTAGATGCTTCTTCCTGTGATGCCCTATTCCTGCTTTCAGAGAATCAGCATAACTATAGCCCCTAAGAAACTGTCCCAACACAGCCTCACAGAGGCAGTACTGCCAATGTGATCTCCATCTTCCATTGTTTCCTATACATAGTTTTCAAAAGCTGTGTGTGTGTGTGCATGCAAACGTGCTAATTACAACATGAACCATTTAAACTTATTGGTAAATAGCTGAGAGCAACATGAAAATCTAGTGCCACATGGATCACCAAGCCATATTTTGGTTGATCTCAAAAAACAAAATGTTATCTCTTCAAAAAGAATTTAGCTCATTCACCTTTGCAGAACTGATTTTATGTAGGAGTGAGAACAAAAGTGTATCTTCTACTTGCCACTATAAATAATAGATGGTCTTTCTCAAGTCTACAACTGTATAGAAAGTTTGTACTCCGGTAACACAGAAGTTTTAGCAAGTAGACAAGATTCCTTCTTTTTCAGGGTTTTTAATATTTCCCACAAAAAAAAATGAATAAAAGGGAATGATCAAAAATAATTCTAACACCGATTTTGTTCCAGGATTTCATAAGGACCCAAGAATGAAATCATTAAGCCCAAAAGCAGAATTTAGAGAGCATTATTGTCACTATGGAATCTCACACATAACTGCTTCTGGGACATGCCAGAAGAGTTAAGAATATTTATGTCCGGGGCCTCCCTGGTGGTGCAGCGGGTTGTACACAACTGTCCGCAGCCTCTGCAGCGTGGGTTCGATCCCCAGCCGGCCAGAGTGGTACCCACATGGCACAGCAGACCTCTCCTGTCTCTCCCGCTGCCCCCCTCAGCAGTGTTTTTGGTCCGTCTGGCTGTTCTGCTCCCCGCTCTGTCTCTGGTGAATCCTCTCACTCTCTCGCACTTCTGGCCTATACCCCAGTTCTTGTATAAATAAATAAATTTTTTAAAAAGAATATTTATGTCCGTTTCTATCAGCAAACCCTATCTTCTGCTCTCAATTCAGAGCCCCAGGATGTTTGGGGCACAGAATCACTTGTCATGATTCAGCTCTTTATTCTGATGACTAACATTCCCATTAACTTTTCAAGGTCTAGCCAAATGGTACAACTTAATTGATTAAACTTTTAGATACAATCAATTTCAACTCCAAAATCCTGTTTCCCTTTGATGTGCCCTACAGAAGAGGCCTGGAAGGGCGAACATCGCCACATACAGTGCTTAGCTCTCTCCAATCTCTCACATCATTGAACAACTAAGTGGGGACCTCTTTTCTAAAGCTCTGTGAGTCTCCCCCAAACAACACACACATGAGGCATTTCACTATTCTCATAACAAATGCAATGAGCTTCTTCACAGAGAGATAATCCAGAAACATCTTATGGATTTTGAATGACTAGACATGGATAGCAGTATGTTCAGTGATGCAAATGTTGTACATTTATTCTATTCAAGGTGGGCATCACCAGCCATTTGCAGCTGCTTAGCGCCTTAAATGTGTAGGGGGTGGGGATGAGACACCAAAGTATTACTTAATTTTGAAGAACTGCCTTTTAAATAATCTTACGTAGCTAGTTCCAGCACAGAAATATCAAGCTTCATGAAAGACTACAGGGGTTTCATAGTCAATAATGAAGTAACTGAAAAACAGACAAAAACAGTTAGCATGTATCCATGCTGATCGATTTTTAAGCAGAAAAATGAGCAGTGAGAAAGTTTTGTCCATCCCTTGGCATCCTCCATAATTGGCAGTTCCTCTGCCAAAGATTATTCCAGTACAATCTGCGATTCATTTACTTTGGGTCTGTAATTGCTCTGGTGGTACACGTAGGGAAAGGATAAAACATTTAACAAAATTAAGTGTGGCTTAGTTTAAAATATTATTAATCCTTCTTTGATTTTTTTTGTTCATGGCATGAAAGCCTCCAGGACAAAGCTGTTCAGCTGGGGCCACATTCTCTGCTTGTTCCACATCAGTCAGCCTGAGTACTGATCTCCCAACACTTCTAAGGGAGTGCCACGTCGGTCATCGCTGGCTGCGTGGAGTGAGAAAAGAACAAAGCTCTTTGGAAGGAGAGAAAGACTTCAGGGAAGAGGCAAAAACACAGAGCCAAAGAGAGCACCTGGAGGACAATGTATGCTAGAAAGAAGACAGCCTTCATGGTGGGGGTGGGAGAGGCAGTGGAGCACAGACACATTCCAGAGAAACTATTATGGTGATGGATTATCTCTAGGCTCTTCCCAACCTTCTAGAGCCATCCTCTCCTCTGGTACCACCAAATCCAACTACAGACAGTGACGCTGGAAACAAACATGAGCTTCTGGCAGTGTGGCCCAGGAAGCTAGAAGCAAACTTTGCCCACGGCACCAACAATCCAAAAGGGGGAAAAAAAAATAAAAAAGCGAAGGGATACACACAAAAAAGAGAAGCATTATAAAAACACTTTCTGCAGAAACATAAAAGTAAACATATTCATCTGAAAATAATCCACAGTGATTGAAGGCTTTGCTGACCCTTTTCTGGAGCTCCCCCAGTGGCACTGGTGAGAGTTTCTCCAGCAGGAAGATAAGAGAACAGGGATTTCTAACTCCTGGTTCCAGCAAAAGTGAGTCAAGTTACCCTGACCTAAGTAATAAACTTACGTGAAAACCCAAATGTTTTTGAAGTCCCTAAATAAAAAATGTTGATTGATTTAGATTCCAACAGTTTCTTTCCTTTGAATGTGCTCAAGAAAAGACAAACATTGTATCCTGGAAAGAGGGAAGGAGATATATTTTTTGGTTGTATTTGTTTAATGTTAACAGCACAAAATCAAGCAATAATAAGTGCGTGGCTCTTGGATGTGTGTGGATGGGTTTCTGATGCTCATGGAAATTCCTACCTTGCCAGGTCAAATGAAATTTTGTTCTGCATTCAACGTAAGTAACACAGTAGTGGAAAATCATCATCCCGATACCCCTGGGTATCTTCAGACATCTTTCCAATACAGTAAGGCATACACTTTTCAGTGGTGCCTCACATCAAAAAACTACAACACAGTCACAGAAAGTCTCTCTGATGAAGATTCAAATGTCTTCACTTTTATGGCCAAATACTCAGTCTGTGAGTGAAAATCTTCTGGACCTAAGATTCAGGGGCCTGTTTCAAATTTGGGCCTGTTTGAAACTCTAACCTATTTACCTTCTGACTTTGTCTTCTGTCTCCCTTTCTTGCCTCTGGTTCTAGCAAGAATTTTCCTATCAAAATAAAAGTGAGATTTTCAAATAGAAGGGAGATGGGTGTGCCTGGCAGGTTCTAAACTTCTTTACTATACACAGCTGAATGGGCATAAACTGTCAGACAAAAGCCAGTTGATAAATGTAGCCAATCACTAAAGAAAATACGGATATTCAGCAATTTTAAGTCTGCCTATGGATAATAAGAAAAGAAGTTCTAAATTTAGCAGCATAAGGAACAAATGTGATACTCCATTTTAGTTCTGTATATTTCTCCTATGTAGCAATTCACCCTTGTGGTTAAAGACTATGGAGAATATCTTTTACTTCCAAACTTGCTGGGTCAAAGATAGCATTTCAGGTTCTGGAACAGGAAAGAGCTATTCTATAGGAATATGCTGAAGGCAAACTGCGTATTTAGAGTGCAACTAGTGGGCTAAAATGACAGGGACCTCGCTCTGTCTCCCCCATCATCAATAACCAACTCAGGTGAGACAGAGTAAATCTAGAAACTCCCCACCATTGCTAAGAAACACTGTACTTTATTGCATTGACTATAAAGGGAGAAATTTTTGAAATTACAATTCTTAATTTTAATTTACTCATAAATGATGGTGACCACCTCTTAAGTCTTCACCAACAAAGTACAAGGTAGGGAGAAGTAGGATCCCACTGGATGAGAAACTGGACCTTGCTCCGGCTGTCTGCCTACGTATCAAGCACTCGCTTTGCCTCACCTGAGGAGACCTGGCCACACCTGACTGGGACACCTGACTCAAAACAGACTGTCAGGGTCCTGCACAGGACAGCTGCCTTGTGTCACCTGGATTTCTGCCTTGAAATTAGCTGGGGGGGGGGGGGCGGTGTGCAACTGTATGGGAAATAAAAAAAAAATAAAAAAAGAAATTAGCTTGGAATCAGCATTGACCTAAAAATCGTATTTTCTAATTTGGCAGGTATTTTTCTGACAGCTGACACAGAGGTATTGCCAAAGGTGATACTATTATATTACAGAACAGACTGCACAGGGTTTCCCAAGTGTAACTGGAGTCAGACAAAACCAGCTGTTTGTGTGTCTTTCTATTTACCATGAGATGTTTTCACGGCTTTGAGTCACATGCAGCATGAAATCATATCAACCTCAAGGTTAAGCTTCGAGTTCCAGAAAATGCCAACTATCAGTTAATTTTACCTTGCATAGGGAGTTATTATGACAATGAATCTCAAGCAGATAATAGCTGCGTACATAAGAACTCACTTGATTTAGAAAATAAGTTCATCCCAACCTGTTAATTCATCTTTTATATTAAAGAAACCACTGAAATGATCTGCAAACTTCAACTATATATGTATATGCACATATACACATATATATATGTTGAGGATATATGTATCATGGCAAGCAAGGCAAGCTTTCAAAAAAAAATCCTTTCTGAGTAAAGAAAACATTTCTAAAATGTTTGCATGGCCTCTAGGAAGTGTAGAGGCCTGTTGATAATTTTACGAGGAGGCTTTCCTACTGAAGTAAAAGTAAAGATAGAGCTGCCTCAAAAGTCCTAATGCAGAAACACGTCACTTAATTAGTTGTAGCAATAGGGCCTCCCTGGTGGTGCAGGGGTTAAGTCTCAGTGCTATCATGCTATTGCCACTGTCTCACCTGCTGCTCCCCTCAGCAGTGTATTTCAATAAATCCATCAGTTCTACTCCCCATTCTGTCTCTGGTGAATCCTCTCATTCCCCCTGCACCTTTGACCTACACCCCAGGTTTTGTATGCATAAAAAAGCATTAATTAAAAAATCAGTTCTAGGGGCCTCCCTGGTGGCGCAAGGGGTTAAGCACCACATTATGAAGCAATCCGAAGCCTCTGCAGCACGAGTTCAAAACCCGGCTGGCCAGGGAGCAACCCACATGACGCAGCAGACCTTTCCTGACTCGTCCGCTGCTCCCTTCTGCAGTGTATTTCAGTCAGTCTGCCTGTTCTGTTCCCCACTCTGTCTCTGGTGAATCCTCTCATCCCCAGCATCTCTGGCCTGTACCCCAGTTTTTGTATGCATAAAAAAGCATTAATAAAAAATTAGTTCTAGCAATGCTTGATGTTAAGCAAGTGTTTTGTAGACGGGGACACATAAAAATGTGTTAAGTTATAAATGTGCCTATGTACCCTAAAATGGACTATTAATACTATTTTAGAAAAGATTCAGCTGCTCTTCATCAACTTTCCATCCCCTCTGCCTGCTGGGTCTTCAAACACAACTGTAACTGGCAGAGCTATTTGGGGAGAGCTGAGAGGATGTTCTGAGGCCAGGAGTCAAATGGCTTGAGGGTGTTCAGTGGCCAAATTAAAAAAAATAACCCAGGAGTCCCGATACCTCATCTGTCTTCCTTCTAAAAATTATTTTCTGCTTTTATATTCAAAGTGCATTTTCAGTGCTATTCTTAGATATTTGGGGTTTAATGAAATTTTCATAAGCTGCGAAGGAGAGATAAAACACAATCCTTTCCTATTGAATTAATTTGATTTTTGTCTTTTGCGCCCCCAGCTATCAAGATTGTCGAATAAACCAGTTTTGATTCATAAATAATAGTTCCATTATATCTACTGTGCCACTCGTCAGAGTACCTGAAATTTTAATTCACTTGTTCAGCTAAATTTCATCCTCAGTTCATGGCCATAAAATTCTTTATTGACAAACTTTCAAACCAACTTTGACTCTGAGGTATCTAGTCAACATTTTTCTTCTGTGTGGATATTAGTTTATTGAATAAGTGGCATCTGTTTTCCTCCACATCACTAGCAGAGTAGGTATTTCCTTTTGACAGCTTTGCAGGATTTATGGGTTTGCATGCTCTGAAGAAAAATAGTACTAAGCAAAAAATTCCAATTCATTACCTCTTAGTACTTAATTAAGTTCATACCCACGGCACACTGGAGGTGAACTCTGAAATGACAGTGACAGCAGCTGAGTGGCCAACTATATTATCTCTGGAAGACAGAGAGGATTCTAATTATCCTGACCTCATTTTCCCATCTATGATATTCATAAATGTTCCTTCTATTTCGCTTCCTGCTGGACTGGGACAGAAGAACGGTTTGGAAAATAAGAGCAGACCCCTCTGCTGCCACTGCTCATGTAGCCCGTCTAAACAATAAATCAAACAGCGGCCTAACGCTACTGGCTGACCTTCTGGAGCAGGGGTGTTTCCCGGGGTGCAGTGGGAGGCCGAGAGGGGATGCTGCTGGAAGGCCCGAGGTGGGTCGCACGCCTGACCGGGCTCACTCTGTGAGTCGCGGGACGGGGTTTACCTGTCGGGGTTCTGCGTGCACACGTGCATTTGTAAGAGGATCCTCTGTGTGAAAGTCTTAAAGCACTGCCCACACTTCCAAAGGTGCCAGTCACTGAACTCGGAGTGCAGCTGGCTGGTAGACGTGGGGCTCGCGAGGACTCGCTGGTTCTTCACGTTGATTTGGTTAAATCCCGACTCCATGGGCCCAGACTTGTCCAGGAGAGAGAAGTTCCTGGTGCAGGGAGTCTGTGGGAAAACGATGGAGCGCTGTGGGGTGGCAGGGGAGAGTTTGCTGCTCTTGCTGAAGGGCTGCAGGGCGTCCTGTCTGCACATGGCTTCCATTACCGTTGAAGGGACATTTACTAGGAGAACAGCAGTATTTTAGAAAATCAGTTTTATTAGCCCTTAAAATAAGCACAAAAACACATGCTTTTCAAAAGTTCCTATAAATCAGCATTTTAAACATTTGTTTTCCTGGACTCAGAATGAACATGAGAGCAGACAACTTGACATCAGGAGGAAAGCACTGATATCTCAGATGATGAAGTCATTCAGTGCCTATTTACTAAGCAATTACTGTATGCTCAGGACCCCATCTTTGACGCTGTGCTCTATGAGCTGCGGTTTCATCATCTTTCAACCCCCTTTTATGAGGTTGAAAGAAGATAATGGCAGTGTTCATCCAGAGTCCACGATCACCACAGCCACCATTCTGATGGTTACAGAAAGAGAAGAAACTGGCATGATGGACCTAAATGGGGCGGTAATGGGGGTAGAGCAGAAAGAACTAGAAGAAACATTTCTGAGGAGGGAGACCTCCAGACTTGAGATCTGGTTGTCTGTCTTTTACACTGTTACTGTGTTCACACTACCTCTCTCTTGAATTTGCTGGTCAACACACAGGCTCAGAGGTGACTAGCACCTAATATGCTTATCATTTATTGTTGGTATTTTATAAGGAACTGCTGTATCAGTAAGATGTATTTATTGGTTGTTGCAGAGGCTCAAGAGATGAAAGATCACAGCATGGTCAAGAGAAGAAAATCAGGGAACAAAAAATTGGAAAGGATAAGAGGCAAGAAGGTTGGTAAAGGGAAGTAAATCATGGCTGCTGGCCCCTGGGTCAGGGACACAAGGAACAAGGGACTTGGGGCCACTTGCCCTTCCCCACCACAGACCATGGCTGAGCGCGGACCCTTGAACATCCTCAATGTGAACAGAGGATGGTAGCGGGGTGACAGCCAGGTCTCGGGCAAGTGGACAGGGAGAAACCAGGTGTAGGGACACAGAGCCATCTGTATAACCACATGCACCAGGTGACTCCAACAACCGCCTATTGCATTCTGTCAGCATGGCCTGGCCTGTCTCAGAAAGGAAAACTAAAAGGACTCACAGACATGGAAAGAGCATCTAGAATCTGTTGAGTTGGCAATTCTTTGCCCTGATCGCATGTTAGACTCATGGAGATTTTTTTTTAAATTAAATCAGTATCTCTTGGTAGGGTCTGGGCACCTGCATTTTAAAGCTTCTCCCAGGCGCTTCTAAAGATGTGCAATTAAGGCTAAGAAACTGACCTGTGCACAAATAAAAAAGCTGAAGCCCAACAAGATCATATGGCTTATTTTGGGGCGTGCACTTATGTAGGGTCGTGCACTCAGTCATTCTGGAAGGTTTAGTTTTCCAACTTACAGGGCATTTTTTTTTTTTTTTGCCACATTGCGTCTGCTCATGAGCTGGGTTTCAAAACTAAAAAGGACATTTTAGAGCTAGCACAGAGTTGTGTGTGTGTTGATACATCATGCACAAAGACATGGACATAACAGGCATGGAAGTCATACAGATGCACCTGCACACACACATGCATTTACATGTTCAAAGCTACAGTTTCAACTTCTGCAGCAAAAGTGCATAATCAGCATGAACTTCGAGTACACATTTTAGACTTCGAAAAAAAATCTTTGCATAGGCTGTTACTTTTTAAGAAGACAATGAAAGAGAAGAAGGAATATTTTATCATGTCTTAGTACTTTTGAAATAAAAACAACAGCCTTGTCAGATAAGGGTAGAGCTCATCTCACTCAGCAATTTTAAAACTAACCCTGAAGAGACAAAGCAGAGGCTAAACCACACGTTTTCAGCCAATGCTAAGCTCTCGTGGGTTGGTAAATGCCAGACAAACAGGTAGGAAAGAGGGAAGACTTGGGAATGAAGATGTCATCAACATGCATGAGAGGAGGGAAAAAAAAAAAAACAACAGGCAGAAGCTTCACTATTGGAAAGAGGAGTATAATGCTTTTGGGGGAAGAGAATGGATGCAAATAAAACTCCCTAGGTTCAGATTCTAGGTTCTGATTTCTCTTACACTCCTGGAAAGTAACCTAATAAATTAATTTCAAAGAGCATTAAGGTTACATGACCTTTATAATAAACAAAAGGATCTGTGGCCCAATGGATTTTTGTAAGTTTAATGATGAATGTCAAAATGGCAATAATGAAAATTTCATACCAATTTGGGTTATATGGGAACTGAGTTAATGATAATCGCATTAAGGCAATAAAAGTAGGGATGGTTGAAATAAAATTATTCTCTACCTTATTATTTTCTTCTCTGGGACAAACAAATATAATAAGCTTTCTAGATGTAGGCAGTAATACTTGTACTCTGTATTCTACTGCTGGAATGTTCCTGTATTGAACTTACGAATAAATTCAATCCTACTGAATGTAATGAGCATGTAATTTAGAGAGAAGAAAAAGAAATTATAGGAAGGAGTAGTTTTCACAAAAGCAACCTCACTTAATCTCTAGCTTGTCCTGCAGAGTTGTTGCACATTTCCACAGGACACTAGACATCTATAAAGTTTACTATTTAAAAGCAGGTCTTAGAGGCACAGATTATTCTTCCTAAATTCACCAAGAAAATCAAAAGTATTAACAAAAACAGGAAATTTTCAGAGAGGGGACAGAAATGAATCAGAAGATGCTATCTCCTCCCGACTCAAGACAGTACAGACAACGGCAAGAGGCCAGAGGTGACTAATTAAAAAGACCAAGAGGAGGATGTGGTTTCCACATGGAGACATAATGAGTTAGTGAAATCTCTTCCATCTGTAAGAGAAGGACTCAGGAGAAGAGGGCAAATACTCAGTCTTAAAGGATAGTCCAGGAAGAACAGACACTCCTCAGATCCTGGGAAATCAAAACATTTGAGAGAGTTATATTCTTTCTCCGTTGTCCATTCATCAGGTCCATGAGTGCTTACTGAGCATCTATTACATGCCTCCTACTGTGACTACAGGAGAGCGAGGAAGCCACAGCCCCTGAACTCTTGCCGCTTCCACTCTACAGTGGGACAAATAATAAAAAAACAATTGTACAGGTGACTATCTACTCAGCTTCCATTAAATCTAAAATTTGAATCATTGCAAGTTGCACTATTAGTTATAAGTCAAAATTAATGATATCTTCCAAGTTCATAAAGATTGAAATGTGACAAATACATGAATTTTAGAATTGTCAATACACAGATGCTGTAAGTGTCGTGAGTGCTATGAGAAGAAAGGGCTGCCAGGAAAGCATGGGTCAGGAACAGATAAACTTGGGATCTGAGGGATGCCCACCTGAGTCAGTGACCTTGAATGTGGGTCCTGAAGGGTGCAGTCATCAGACAGGTGTGAAAGCAAGAAAAGGCAAAGCAAGGAGATCAAACATCGCTGGTTGGGCCTCCCCAGTGGCGCAGCGGTTGAGCGCTGGGTTGCGAAGCTGCCCGCAGCCTCTGCAGCACTGGTTCAATCCCCGGCTGCTCCCCGGCCCCCGGAGGAGGGTCCCACATGGCGCGCAGACCTCTCCTGCCGCCCGCTGCTCCCCTCAGCAGTGTACTTCGGTCCTTCTGCCTGCTTTGCTCCCCGCTCTGGCTCTGGTGGATTCTCTCACCCTCCCGCGCTTCTGACTGTACCCAGGGCTTGTATAAATAAAAATAAATCTTTAAAAAAATTAAAAAAAAAAAAAAACACCACATCGCTGGCTTTGCCACAAAGCCTATGTGTCTCACTGAGATGGGACGGAGTTCAGGGCACTGAAGGAGTAGAAAGAGAGAAGACTGTGGCCAGTGAGTGAAGATAGAGGGGCCACAGCGGAGGCTGGCGAGGAAGAGCCCAATGCCAGTGTCGGTGGGAGCTGGGCAAATGATGGCACTAAGTGATGGGAGGTTCCTTAAAAGAGGATGGTGGGTCTGCAGCAAACTCAACAGGGCACAGCCAGCTTAAAGATGTGTGGATTCTAATTTTGTATATGAGTTTACAAGACATTTCTGGAGACTGTATGTGACCCATAGGCTACCAGATTAAAGTACAGGGTATTTATTGTAACAGTAATGTCAAGTTGGATAAAAGGCTGTGAGCTGGGTGGAGAGGGTCATATTTATGCTTTGAAATCATCACCACTCCTGGGCTTCTGCTTTTTGGGAGACTTTTGATTACTGTTTCGATTCCCTTGCTTGTAATTGGTCTGTTCAGGTTTTCTGTCTCTTCTTTATTCAATGTTGGAAGGTTGTATGCTTCTATGAATTTGTTGATTTCTTTCCAGGTTATCTTAATTTATTGGCATAAAGATGTTCCCCACAGTCTCTTAGGAAGCTCTGTATTTTTCAAGTCTCTGTTGTGATTTCTCTTTAATCACTGATCCTATTTATTATTATTTTTCTTTTTTTGTTCTTAGTGAGTTTAGCTAGAGGTTTGTCTATTTGCTTATTTTTTTCAAAGAGCCAATCTTTGGTTTCACTGATCTTTAAGACTGTTTTATTATTTCTATTTAAATTAGTCCCACTCTGATTTTTATAATTTCCTTCCTACTACTGGCTTTTGATTTTTTTTTTTTTAGGTTCCTATTTCCTTAAGTTGTAAAGTTAGATTATTAATCTGAGATCTTTCCTGTTTCTTGATGTGGGCTTGTATCGCCGTATGCCTCCCTCTTAGTACTGCTTTAGCTGTGTCCCATCGGTTCTGGTAGCTCAAGTCTTCATTTTTATTCATCTCAGGTATTTTGAAATTTCCCCATCGATTTCCTCATTTACCCAATAGTTGTTTAGCAGCATGTTGATTAACCTCCACATTTAGGTTTCCCCACTTTTCTTGTTTGGTTGATTTCTAGTCTGATGACACTGTGAACGGAGAAGATACTTGATACAATTTCAGTCTTTATAAATTAACTGATCCAATATATGGAATATCTTCAAAAATGTTCCATTTGCATTTGAGAGGAATGTGTACTCACCTTTAGGGGGCAGTGCCCTTTAAATTTCTCTTGATCCCATCTGGCTTAATTCCTTGTTGAAGGCTATTACGCACTTGATGACTTTCTATCT